CACAAAACCCCCAAACGCACATGGTTCAACTTGGCTGTGGCGTTTGTTTTAGAAGGCCAGGCCCAGCGGAGGGGGAGTGTGCGGGTCGGTTCAAAGCTTCATTGGCAGCCGCTGTGCTTCCTGGTGTTTCTCATTCATCTCTTCCTGTCTAGAGGGGGCGGACGGCGATGACGGCGAGGAGGAAGATGAGGAGGAAGATGAGGAGGAGGAGGAGGAGGAGGAAGATGCCGAGGAGGATGCCGAGGAGGACGCCGACCCCCTGGACGAAGGCCTGGCGGCCGACGCCGAGCCCCGCGGGCCTGCCCTCCCGGGCGCCCCCTCCCAGGAGCCGGGTGCCCAGCAGGCCCGCCTGCACCTCCTGGAGGGTGCCACCTACCAGGTGCCAGGCGCCCTGGCCTGGGAGGAGCAGAACCAGGGCCTGGGTAAGAGCCGCGAGCCGCCCCTGTCCGGGCCCCCCTCCTTGTGCTTTTCTAAGGGGACACGATTGTGGTGCAAGGTGGATTTTCTGTTCGTGTTTATGGACGGTCCACTTGGGGTGCAGTTATCAGGTTTTTCTTCAGCGTGTTTATATTTAACACTCTTAGGTAATCAGGCTCGCCACAGCCTGCGCCTGCCCCCCCAGAGCGTGGCTCCCTAGCCTTTGGAAGGAATCCCCTCTTTCCTGTCCAGCTGGAGGGCAGCCCTAGCTTGGGGAGGGCCTCCCAGCGGGGCTTAGGTCTCACCCAGCGTCGGGGGCTGCCCGGGGAGGAGCTGCGGTTCCCGATCCAGAGGTTGCATTGAGCGCGACTAGTGCGGGAGCTGTAGCGCCCCCACTTACATCTCACTACCCAACCCGAACACATAGATCAGGCCCACGGTGCCGGCTGCCTTAGGGCGAAGAGGAGGGGAGGTTCCCAGTCCCCTTTGGGGCCAGAACCGGGTAAAATTCCAGATCAACTAAAGAAAAACAGCGCCGACAGAGGCAGGGTTCTATTTCTAAATAAAGGAGTCTTTTTTAAAGCACATTTTTTCATTTGCATAGTTGTGGTAACTTCCTGCTTCATAACGTATAAAACCCAAGTTGGGAAAGTGGTGACTCAGATGATAACTCACGGAGACAGTACCAGGATGAAATAATGGAACAAGCTCCTTCTCAGGGTTGTGCTGGCACGCTGGTTTTATTTGTGCCCCACCGCCCCAAGTCTTCAAAAACGTTGTTTTGAAGGCATTTTCTGATCACCCTGTGATATCTCCTTGCTCTGTTTTTACTTGCTCATTGGTCTCCCCCATTAAAAAGAAACTTTTGGAGGGCAGGGGCTTTCTTTTGTTCTTTGTTGTTTCCGTAGCACCTAGATGGTGCTCACTAAATATCTGATCAATTACTGAAATAATTTTAAAAGTGGAACTTACAAGCATTTGCTATTTTATATTAATTTAACATTTTCTGAGAGATTTAAAAATTAAAACCAGAAGGTTAAGTTCTCTGATCATATCTAAGATTTTTTTCTCCAAGTTTAATGGGAATAATAATAATGTCTCATGGGTTATTTTGAGGATTGTGCCTGCACATTAAGTGCTATATAAGTGTTAGCCGTTTCTACTCAGTCTTTAATGTCTATCACGAATAAAACTCATGAAACTTAACATTGAAAAGAAAAACACAATATGCAAAAGCTGGGACCTAAATGAAGATGTTTTACAGGTCACTTCTGGAAATAGGCCTTCAAATAATACATCTGCAGGTATTTAATTTTTATGGTAAAATGTCACCTTTGCCCACTTAAAACAGACATATATATTTCCCATTTACTCCATAGAATACTTCTTCATTCTGAAATATCTTATCCCACACCTGTCGATACTGAGTTTGAGACAGTTCAAGGTGGTAAGGTGACTCACCATTGGATTGATTCTTTTGGTTCTGTCCTGAATCCTAGTTATCAACTGCAACTCCATTATTTCAGCTCTGTGCAGAGATGCCTTCACAGAGGCATAATGTACTTGTGTCCTTGGCGTAAATTCAGATTTTTATACAAGAAATGGTCATCTATATGTTTTCCCCTGCATATTTTATAAAACTAATTGGTTGTCATTGTTCAATATCTCTAATAGATCCATGAGTTCAGGACTAGAAAAAAGTTTTGTTTCTCCTGACAAATTCATATGGACCGTTTGAAAGCTAACTCTTCATACTCAGGCTTTACCTTGACTCCCAGGAAGTGGAGCTAAATTTAATAGTCAATTTATAGCAACTATTGCTTTTTAAATTATAATTATTGCCATGATGCCAGGATATGACTTATTCTTTTATCCCTGTTTTAGTAATTTGAATACCCTATGTGTCTTTTTTTTCATCCTCACCTAAGGAGTGAGGATATTTTTTTCCATTGATTTTTAGAGAGTGGAAGGGAGGGAGGAGAGAGAGACAGAGAGAGAGAGAGAGAAAGGGAGGGAGGGAGGGAGAGAGAAACATCTATGTGAGAGACACACTGACTGGTTGCTGCCCCCACACGCCCCAACAGGAGGCAGGGATTGAACCTGCAACCCAGGTACGTGCCCTTGACTGGAAATTGAACCCATGACCCTCCAGTGTGCAGACCAAGGCTCTAACCACTGAACCACTTGAGCCAGGGCTACCCTATGTGTTTTGGTTAAAATGGACTCGAATACTTTGGAAGTCGGCAATTCAAGCAAAACTATGTCACAGGAATGTGTATTCATGTTATCTTGACCATATTTCAGTTGAATTTTGGTCCCCAAGTCCAGTTAAAAAATGGGAAGGCAATACAAAACGTAATGACTCTGCCCCACCATCTGTGAAGACATCTTTAACTGATGTCTGTTGGGATAGAAAAGAAAAGAGCAACTAGACCAAACTGCCAAAATAACCAATAAAATAGTCATCTTCAGCGTTCACGGTTATTTACTAGAAAAACTTATTTCAAGTTTTCTCTGAATAATGACATCTCACATTCCTGTTTAAAAAGTGCATAACACTGATTTCAACAATTCTGTTAACAAGTGAAGAATTTGAGGCTAAGCAATAGTAAGATTTTATGAACTTACTATTAGCTTCTCCCCAAGACCTAAAAACATAAGGGTACTAAGTGTGTTGGGAGTTAAGTTCCTAAAAGGTGACTGGGGGAAGGAAGCAAGCACACACCATGGATACAAATATAGCCTGCTGAGAATTCCTGAGAACTGGGTGTTTGCTGGGGGAGAGGGGGCAAAAAGCAATACCATATTTTAGCAATTTATCAAGTAAGGCTTTGACATAGCTACCAGTAATTCACAATATACTAATGAATTCACTTGAGCTTTGTTTTGACAGTGCTGAGAGATGTGTATTTACCTAACCATTCATTCATTCAAAATGCATGTTGGCTGCCTGCTAAGTATCAGGCACAATGTCAGGCACTGGGAATACACCAAGGAAACAGATGTGCTCCTGTTTCCACGGAGCTTACAGTCTCGTGGGGAAGCCAGACAGTCGAGTGGAGGGGCTATGAGAATGTACAGGAAGGCGGAAGGCACCCAACCCAAACGCATGGCCTTTTGGTAACAATAACACCCACCCATTCAGGTCTCATATTCAAAGTCAGCAAAGCTAGGATATAGGGAAGAAATGGAAAAACAAGTGAAAAGTCTTCAGAATGAAAGAAAATAGTTCAGGATGTCCTAAGAATGGGAAGAGAGGGAGGAGAGATAAGACTGGAAAGGCAGCAGGTTAGAGTTTACTTCAGGTCTTGGGTTTATTCATGCAAGTGCATGATGAGATCTCCTTTGTACAGATATGGAAAATGGGATTCCAGACAGGACATCTTTGGCATACTGCAGGCATGAGATGATGGTGGCCTGGGTCAGGGAAATAGTGGGAGTCTAGGGAGGGACAGGCAAATTAAAGAGAAATTTAGGAACTGTGCAAACAGAATTTAGTGACTGATGAGCTACACAAATTGAGGCTCCTTACTGGGGAGTGTGGATATAAAACCGAAAGGCTCGATCCCCACCCTGTAGGAGCTTAGAGTCTCGTAGGGAAGGGAAGAAAGCAGACCATTCAGATCCAGTACAGTGCTGAAGGTCAGAATTACGAAACGAGTCTCACTAGGCTAAAACCAAGGTGTCAGGGCTGGGCTGGCTCCTTCTGGAGGCTGTAGGGGAAACTCTTCCCTCACCTTTTCTAGGTCCCAGAGGCTACCTCGTTCACTGGCTCATAGCCCGGCATCACACCTTTTCTCCTGTCCCCACCACATCGGTTCCTTTTCATTCTGTCTCCTCCTCTGTCCCTCTCATCAAGACCCCTGGGATGACACAGGGCCCTCCTGGACAATCCAGGATCATCTCCCATCTCAAGATCACATCTGCCAAGTCCCTTTTGCTACACAGGAAGTCAGTCACAGGTCCTGGGGATTAGAACATGGACATACTTGGGGGCCACTATTCAGCCTACCACAGAGGCACATTTTTAAGAGCCATGAAAAATGCTGAAATTATTTTGGAAAAGTGGGGAAGACTGTCACAGAAGCTTAGGAAAGAGAACGTTTCTGGGAGGGAGCAATAAACTCGTCAAATGCTGCCAAGAAGTTAACCATGATGAGGACAGAGAACTGTCAGCAACTTTCTCAACTAGGCCGCTGTACACGTGATGTTGCAGAAGGGACAGGGAGGACGCCAAACTGGAGGTGGCTCAGGAGTAAAGGCAAGGCGACAAAGTGAAGGCGGCGTCTAAGGGCAGCCCTCCGGGGAAGCTCCTCGGTGGCGAGAGGAGGGAAAAGAGCACTAGTGAGAGGACACCCGGCAAAAGGGAGGGAGGGGTAAGGACACGAAGGCGCTCAGGGGAAAGGGGCCGCACAGGACAAGAGCCTGAAGGGAGGGGTAAGAGCTGTGAGTCCCCAAGAAACAGGGCAGAGGGGCAGGGGGACGGGTCCAGGGAAGGGGCCGAGAGAAAAGCGGCCTCTGCTGCCAGAGGGAGGTGGGCAGGGGGTGGCTGGGGGAAGCCAGCTCCGGGAGGCTGCGGGCGGGGGGCAGAGGCACTAAGCTGGGTTTGGACTCGCTTTCCTGCGAGGCACAGAGCAGAGGTCTGTCTACCAAGAGCGAGAGGACAGAAGCAGGGTGCCCGAGAGGAGCAGTGAAGGTCCGGAGTGGTGGTGGGGGTGAACAGGGAAGGCGACGACTGGGGACATGCACAAGCACGTGGTGGGACAGCAGTAGGGCTGGAAGTGAAAACAAAACAACAGAAAGTAAACTTGCAAGGGCTGAAAAGGGAGGGATGGTCAGCTCAAGGCGGCAGCTGTGTCGCCGAGTAACCTCAGTGCGCTGTTTCTGAACCAAGCATGAGAAGAGGTCTGGCCATTTGAAACACCTCTAAGTCACAGTTTGCTAAAGCACCCCAAGTCGGCCGTGGTTGGAGTCACACACCTATAAATTCGAAGAAAGGCTTCAAAACGTGCAGTCCAGTTCAGAGTCATGAGTATTTTCATTATGTAGTTTTTATTTTAGACGAACATTATTGTAAAAAAAAGTTCACCTGGAATAAAATCCATTTAAAAAAAACAAAAACACAGCAATAGTATCAGTACACAGTTAATTAATTGGCTTAAACAAGATTAACCATGTGACAGGTCTGCTTTATCTGCAGGAGCTTTTCACAGTAAGCTGCTGGAGCAAAAACATGCCGAAACATATGCAGTAGGATAATTCTATGGAAAAACTAGATATTTTCCATTAGGGGAATGATTTTAGCCAAAGAGTTTACGGTATTTTGCATTCAAGGAACTGCTGTGTCAGCTGCAATCAAAATAAAACCCATCTGTGAGGCCATAAGAATGAACTTTAATAATTAAACTCACATTTTTTAAAAAGGTAAGAAAATGAAACAAGTTCTATTAGTTCTTGGCAATAAGAAATGCAATTGCATACGATACAAGTATTTAAAAAATGAAGTACAATTTGAAAATATCCCTAAAATAATTATTTGCTAATTTTCATTTCTGTAAATTTCAGTCATTTAGATTTTTTTCATAGTGAGCATGACACCTATTAATTTTATTAGTCTTTTTTTAAAAAGGCCAATTCTATTGTAAAATTGTGCTAGCATTTGAAATTTTATTAGCATATCCTGTCACTCTAGGTTTCTCTAGGACAAGGAATTTCATTTTTAGACCCCCCCCCCCCCTTTTAGCTAAAACAAGAAGGCAAAAGGAATGTAAAAAACCTGACAGCAGAAATGACTGCTTAAAATCTGACACAAGTACACCAACATAATGAAGTGCTGTTTTAAAATTTTAAGCTTAGAAGTTCATCTTTAAAGATTAAGAACTAAATTTATAAAGACATCTAAGTTATAAACTAGAAAAGAGAGTCTGCTTAAGTGTATCACTTACTGTTCACAGGAAAAACTCTATATAAGCCTTAATACAGATTCTCAGCATAGAACCTGTAAAATGGAGTTATAATCTCTTATTAGAAATTTCTGCAAACATTTATCTATATTGCACAGCTAAAGTTATTAATGGAGACAGGGAGATAATACTTCTTTTTTGCACTATTGGATATGATGTGTATGTTCTATTCTAAACTACCTCCTACCTTTCCCAATGATGCCTTTAGTTCAAAATGAAACATGTGATCTAAATTGTGTGGATGCTTAAAGGCTGGCTCACTGTTTTTCTACCAGGTATTAGAATACTAGTCAGCTAAATGAGGTATAATTAAAAATAGTCCTTCAAAGTAAAGAGTATAGTCTTCTGAAAATTTATAACAAAGACTGCACAAAATGTCCATGTAAATAGTAAGAAACCCTGCAGCATCTCCTAACTGATGCACAGGTGGGTTATTTTCTCATAATCTGTCTGAAGTAAAATAGAGCTAAAATAAGTTCCCAGTGAAACATTTTACAGTCAACTGATTGACATGCTTCTTAGTTACAGCACATCTGCATTGCCTGATACCCTCAGACTCTATTTGACAAGGTCTAGTCCAACCACTGGCAGAAGTGAGCCCACTGATAATAAAGTGCAGCCACTGAAAACCACTAATACTGCTGCAAAATCTTCCTGTACCTGGTCCATTAGACCACAGAAGTGTTCACACAAAACTAGATTTTCTTCAGTTTCAGCAGGGAACAGACAATTATCTCTCACTAAATTCATTGACAAATAGAAAAAATAATGCACTATATGTACATTATTAAGCAAAGTGGAATATTTATTGGGTCATTTTGCCATGCAAAAGGTGAATTTCCTAAGGTCTTAGCTCAAATTATATACAATTTAGCAAGACTAAATGTAAGAAAATAGCAAGGACGATTTATTTCAGTACAACAGAGCATATATCCCTAACTTGCTGCTACTTCAAAGAGCACCTTTAGACTCATCTAGCTTTTACAGGCTCTTTCAAAGGGAAGTTCACGGAGACTAGTTATTAATCCATATAAGACAAAAGAAGAGGGAAGGAACAGAACAAAAGCAAAGCATTCTATTAAAAAAAAAGGTAACCATAGAACATGTCAGTTTTGGTTTGCAGATAACCCCTGAGATATAAACCAGAGTGTTAAGACACCAAATAGTCAGAGGTAAATTACTAAGAGAATTACATTCATACATGGTGTCATAGCACTTGCCTTTTAGAAACTACTTTGTTATCCTCCAGAAAGCTTAACTGCTTGGAATTTTTTTCCAGAAAATTAGTGAATACAATATGTTTCTAAGAAATTATTTTTTCTTTCCAAAAATGTATCTAATTTTAAGGTGGTAGACTTACAATCAACTTTCAATGACTATACTGGGACACCAGCAGGTGCTTTTAAGCCTATAGGTACGTTAAAATCAAGGAGGCTGAAATCTGTTAATAAGTTTAGAGTATCCATCGAAAATAGCTCTGGAATATTTGCTGCAGCTAAATTGTGCATAGGTTTTCAAACAAGTAGTAAAGGTTGAGCGGTTCAAGCATTCTAATGACACATCTTAATTGGAAGCAGAATTCTCCGTGGTAACAAGCAATCCGTTTCCACTTCCATTTACTATTCTGAATTTAAGCATGATGGTCCACTTTGTGAAACAAACCAGGTCTAAGAGGAAGAATAATTACTACGGTTCATTTCCTTCATCTCCTCTTGTTTCTCTTTTTTGTGTTATGACACTGAAGGCTAGAATAACAGCAGTGACATAATGATCTTAATTTGGCACATAGTTAACACTAAATACCTTTATTTTCCTATGTGGCGGTTTCATCTACAAAAGGTGTCCCAGTACCAGTGTGTGGTGAGAAAGGCAGCTAAGCTTCTGGCTGGCTTTGGCCCAAACGACTGGACCACGTTCTCTAACAAACCTGAGCAGATGGAACTGGTTCTACACATTCAACAACAGCTACTTTAAAAATGAAACCTTGCTCCTATTTTCTCTCATGAAAAGGCAAGACTTTTCCTAGAGGCTGCGTTAGGTCTAATTATTTTTAACTTTTTAAAAAGCCCAAGTAAAAACAGAACAAAAATAATTATTTTCACCATCACCAAGAGCTATCTCTACTAAACTTATGTTAAGTAACCTCTCTTCCTATAGGTAAGCTTTTTGTGAACTAAAATCTAAATCTAACTCTTGTTAACTCTTGTACACAGGGATTATGGTAGGAACTGGGTATTACAACTAAACCAGCAGGCTGAGGAGTAAACCTAAGACAAAATATATTACGCATGCTATTGTGATGGAACCACAATTAGATGCTGCAATAAAACCCTAAATGGTACATTTCTCTGCCCAGGTAAAATTTCAACTCAAGAGTTCAAAACTAGAAACAAACAACAATGGTCAAATGTGTTGTTTTAGGTAACTGGGTGATTACAATAGGTCAAACATAGGAAAAGACAGCAAATACAAACCCCAGGAAAAGTGAGAGTAAGGTCATTTCCAGGTGCAGTTTTTATAGGTTAGGCAGAGGGAATCAACTGAAAAGTGATTCATGCAGCTACCCAGACTCTGGCTAAAAGGTCAGGAATGAAGCAAAGCACTAAACAGTAAGAAATAAAGAAATTATGGCCTCTGATGAAGAGAGGGACACTTTTATGAATTTTTAAGATAAACTTTTATCAGAATTTAATGATTCTTATTTAAGAAAACCATAAATCAGAGCCCTTAAATAAATGCTATGAATGCAGTAACATCTGGCCATATGAACCAGAACAATGTCCTTTCATTTTAGTACACTGATCTCTGCTTTAAATGTTCTATTCTTTTTTTAAAAAACATCCCCCAAAGCATAAATTTGTCTAGAACTTCATGAGACAAAAGTGTGCATATGAGAGTATCAGCTGGTGCTATGACAGGGAAAGGCTAACACTGATGTGCAAAGTGAAAAAGAAAGATAGCAGCTTCTGCAACAGGCAACAAAACAAAGAAAAAACAAGTCTTGCATGTGTCTCCACTTCATTGCTTCCAGGTTTGAAAAAAGGAGCCTGTTATTTTGCTAGGCCACACGGCTGGAATCCACTTGGCATTGTGTCAAGAGGTCTAGGTTCGGTGGTGCTCTCAGCAGCAGCCTGGCGGTGTGATTCTGAGGCTGGGTGACCTGTGCTTTCAGAGAAGCAGGAAAGGGTCCTCTAGGTGTGCTGCAGTCTCTCAGAGAAAGTTCATCAAAGGAGTGAACACCGGAAGAAACTGGTCTTCTTTGATCGGTTTTCTGTTATTTTCACTGGTCCGCCTGCCCCTGATGAATTGCTGTCGTTCTAAAAAACAGAAGATAAAATTACCAAGAAAATAAAAGTTTCATGGTTTGAATCCAGTTATCTAAAAGACACAACAATATCAACCCATACCACAAATGTGTATTCAGTAGAGTATTTCAATGGAAAAGGAAGTAGTTAAGTTACAATGTTGTTGGTTTCTTTGGAAATGGTGGATTATAATGAGAAAAATGCTTTTAGGACAGCACCTTTTGTATGTATTAATATGAGTTAGGAAGCTCTTTTTTCCAATTCAAAGAAATTATTGCCAAGGGAGTGTAAAGTTTCAAGGGTAATGATGGAAACAATGTTAACATATTGGTATAGGCAATTTGTTGTCAGAGGTAAGAAGAGTTGGTTACATAAGGTATACAATTATATTCAGAAATCAGGTTAAAATAAACTTTCAAGGTTGTCCTAATGATTCATCACTGAGATCGTTTCAAATTTAAGCAAATTTTAGCTGCTTCAAGATCGTAATTATATATAGATATAAATATGTCACATCAAAACGGAACTAGATAATTTTATTGCAAAAATTTAATTTGTGCCATTATTATTTTAATAATTTGGATCAAAATTCAATTAATGCCCACTTAGAGAGCCAGATGAAAGCTCANGCCTCGCCTTTATCGGTTCCCTACTATTTCCCTTAACCTCGCTCATTTTCCTATAGTATTCTTTGGTCCCACGGATGCACAGATAAATAAGCACAGTAAATGCCCTAAAGAAGCTTGCCGTTCTGGAATGAGTGATAAACATAGTCACATAAGTTAGAGGTCAGTGATACACAGAGGATAAGTTAATTGCTGCCTGGCCGGTGTGGCTCAGCGGTTGAGCATTGACCTATGATTCAGACGGTAGAGGTTCAGTTCTCTGTTGGGGCACATGCCTGGGTTGCGCGTTGGATCCCCAGTAGGGGCGTGCAGGAGGCGGCCGATCAATGATTCTCTCATCATTGATGTTTCTCTCTCTCCCTCTCCCTGAAATCAATAAAGACATAATTTAAAAAAAAAAAAAAAAAAAAAGAGTTAATGTGATTATAATCAGACCTATTCTTTTAATCAAATAAACATACAGCATAAATAGAACAAATTTACAAATAGCATAATGAAAATAAAAATTATAAGTGATACAAACCATTTTTCTGTTGAGTTTTGTCATTATATCTCGTGCAAGTGTAAAAAATGCCTAAAGGTAAACCAAAAATTGCATTGTTATATATTTATAATGTATTTTAAATAGAAATATAGAATGTTTTTATTATTATAAGCATATTACTTTAAAGCGTTTGAGAAAAGAACATAATTGTGATCATAGTATACCCATGACTATTGTATCTTATTTTTTTATTATATCACAAACATTTTCCAGTGTTATCAAATTGTCATTCATCAGATATCTTCTGCACCTAATATCTGGCCCATGTTCCTGATATGACGCTTTAGTTATGCATGGCTTCCTCAGTACACCCAGAGCGCCCGGGGGCAGAGGCTCGGTCTAAGCCGCCCTGCACACCCAGGGCGGGGCACAGTGCCTGGTCCAGGAGATGCTGACTATCTGTTTAATAAGTGAATAAGTGTTTCACCCTATAGCTCTAAAATCTGTTTTTACAAACATCTCTGCCTTTTATTCCCAATGTCCTCTCCTTCAATCACTCTCACTCGTATACCTGAGAATATGTATAACCCCAACATTCTCAAATCCCTACTGCGCCGCAGCCCAGTTAACCCCCAGGTGGAAGTCAGTTCAAATGCACGTAGGACGAATCGGATTCGCCTCAGGGACATTTTGTGCCTAGTGTCTCATGACCCAAACCTAACGTTTTTGTCACTCTGTCCTCCCTACTTTGTTTCGAGGGAGCCAAGACTCAGAACTTCTTCCACTGTCTTCATGCTAACTAACCCCACTGTTGCCTCAGTCTCTGTTCCCAACCACGCCTGATGCCCCAAAAAATATTCAGCAAAAGGTTATTTCCAATCAAGTCCAACAAAAACAATACAGTACCTATTATCATCACTCACCGTGTCTCACTGTCACACTGGTCACCTGTGAGCCTAAACTTCTAAATCAGCCCATCGCAGTTTTATGAGGCTAACTAACCACAGTCAGTTAAAGCTCTGGGAAAACTGCTAACTTCTGCAGACTACGGGCCAGAGCAAGCAACCTGGGCAACTCCCAGCTCGACATTTCCATAACTCACTGCTCTCTCTAGGCCACAGGTGTGATCAGGGCACAGGTACCGACAGAGGCCTAAGCCTTTTCCAGTAAGCCAGGTACCGAGTTCACTCTATGGGAGAAATCCTGCGTGGGCCATCTCAGTGAGTAAGCTCTTCTGCCTCCATCAAAGCTGATTTAAGAGAGGCCCCTCCTTCTGACAGAAGGAAATCTTTTTGTGGCAAGCAGAGGAAGCATTTTTCTGCTTATCCATGCTTATGTAAATAAATCAGTAGAGACTTCCTGTTTCCTAACACCCATTAGCAACCTGAAAAAAATGAGTTTTAGTTATTTTAAAAAAAAAAGTTCTGATCAGTGTCCACTATCCAATAAAGTCATTTAAGCCTCACTTTTTAGCCATGATGATATAGTGAACAGTGAACAGCCTAAGAAATTAAATGTTATGAAATCATCGGTATTATTGTTAGTGAGTTACATGTTTTAAAGTATATTACATGTAATATTTTTATGACCAGTTTTTAAAATGTTTTTAAAAGGAAAATATTATCAACAATTCTGCCCTTGGTAAAGAAAATCTATTCTTAGAAGACTTTAGGATTTGGTTTTCTTTAACAGTTAACTTACTGAAAATTTTTTAAATAAAGTACTCTCTGGTAAACACACTTTATTTCTACCAAATGCCATCATTACAATGTATCATGTTAATCTACTTAAACATGTACACTAAGGGAATTTGTTCAATAAGCTAACAGTTTAATTCTTTCTCTTTCTCTGGTACAGACCTGAGAGTAATTAAGGCGACTATAGGATGACATGAATGATGATAAATGAGCAGAGGAAGACACTGCGCTTGGTCAGCTAGTGCAGGATTTCCAGCTTCCCAAATACAGGGTGAAAGTGAACTTAAACTGAACGTCTATCTTCTGTTCAGTGAATCTTAACTGAGCAATCCAATACAGGGTGTCCCCAAAACATGTATACACACTTTAATAGCTGATAGCTCAATTGATGTTTCTTTCTTTTCAGCCATACTAACTTTTGAACAAAGGAAATTCATCCTAAAATGCTACTGGGAGTTTGAAAACGCAGATGAAGTACAAACACCGTCTTTATAATTATTCAAAGTGTCCCCCCAAAAATGTATACACACTTTAACAGATAATCACTTAATTTTCACTCCTTTTCAGATTTAACTGATTTGAAATAGGTGAAGCCAGACTAAGCTTTGAATGAAGAAAATTTATCCACTAGACTTTTTTATAGAGGTACATAAAAGATAAAGTTTATGGTACAAAACTGGCAACAGTTGATGAATTGAGGGTGCACAAATACTGAACGAAATGATTCTTGATGTTTGTGATTCCATTGCTTCGAGTTATCAGCAGTGCCTGGACCAAAAGGGTCATCAGTTTGAAAACAGGTGTTAACAAAAAAAATTATTCATTTCTGTAGATTCTTTTAAATTTTGAAAATGAACTGTATGTTAATAAACACCGCTTTTATAATCATTCAAAGTGTGTATACATTTTTGGGGGAAACCCTGTATATTCCATGTGGAGGTTGGGTGCTAGAAATTCAACAACCAGGATCCACATAAAAGTCAGAAGCACAGAAGTTCACAACACAGAGGTGGAGTTCACACAAGGCATTCACTAAGTCAGGAAAAAAAACAGGCTTTGAGAATTGCTTGAACACAGGCAGGTAAGCACTGGTGCTACTATATATGTAACAAGTCACCAGACATTTCTTCCTTTCTTACCTCTTCTACATTTGTGCTGGATTTTGCACTTGTCTCCAAGAATTTAATCCCATAGTCAATTGCTAACTGAAAGGCAAACAGAAACACTTAAATACAGTGCAAGTTGCTTGAACATATAAAGCATTTATATTTTCTAGGATTTTCAAAGTCCCAAGAGTAGGATATCTAGTTCCGAACTCCTGTGGTTCTCTAATATCTTTGCCTTCTTCTATTGTGACTGAAACTGAGATACCCAACTTCATCATCTTAACATGGCACCACTTCCACTCAAAACATGATTTAAGTATAGTAGTTCTCTTTTTTCCTATTATACTTTTAGTTTCTAATATACTTACAGAAAAACTGTAACACTCACCCCTACCATTAATTTGAGATTCATTCACCCCTTTTATCTGCTCTGAAAGTACGATTCTCCAACAGTTACTATACTGACTTTTCATTATTTTTTAATAAATTAGTGCTTAACAGAAAAGCTTAAAATACTAAGTATTCATTGTTTTGGTTTCTATTGATTGTGACACATGTGAACTCTTCCACATTTCCATCTACTCCCAAAGAGTTCCCAGTTCATTTATAACAACAAGATTAAGAAAATGTTTTTTGTGTGTGTACGTTTAATATGTCTTTACTGATTTCAGAAAGAAAGAGGAAGGGAGAGGGAGAGGAAGATAGAAACATCAATGATGAGTCATTGATCGGCTGCCTCCTGCACGCCCCTGCTGGGGATCGAGCCCACAACCCGGGCATGTGCTCTGACCGGGAACTGAACCTTGATTTCCTGGATCCTAGGTCGATGCTCAAGTGCTAAGCCACACTCACCTGGAAAGTGAGTGTTTTTAGGAGAAAAAAGTTTCAGATTGAAAATGATGTGTCACCAAGGAAAAAAAGGGGGGGGGGGAGCTAAAGCAAAATTCCAAGACTTAAACATTGAAGCCTCTATGTCAACTTAGAAAATGTCACAGAAGTAAAAATGTACACATAATCCACTCCTTTGCTTTGCAGGACACAAAATAGAGAAATGCCTATAAATGACCAATAAATGACATCCACAGCTTGATGAAGTACAAGGAGTTTATTCATAATGATCTAAATTTAATGTGTAGTAAAATATTCTTTTAAAAAATGAATTGGAAAATGATTACTGTTGAACTTCATCTGTCCTATTACTTTTTTCCAAAGTGAATAAATTATTTTAACTTTAAAACTGGGCGTTTTCACACAGATATGGAAGAAATAGCCTTAACTCTAGGCTGCAGGAATCTGAAAAAGAACCAATTTGTATCTCCCAGAAAAGAGCAAATTCTTTAGGAATGAGTCATGAACTCACAGTATATAGAGTTGGGTCTCGAATACTAATTCGTACCATTCAAGTATGGATTACATCTCTTTGTTGTTTTTAAAGGATTAGAATACAGGTATTTTCAAAACTTAAATCAGTAATTATACTAAGAAAATAAATGCTTAATGTTAGTAGATTCGAATCTTTACGCATTCAGTTGAAATTTACCTTCTCCCCTCTTTCTTTTGACACTTGTCTTTTGTCATTCATATCGCATTTGTTACCCAGGATCATTCTCTCCACATCTGAAGAGGCATGCTGCAGAGAGAAAAGAGAATGCTACAGAAACGGCCTGAGAAAGACAGTCACTCAACAGACAAATCCTAGCTTGTCAGAAACATACCCGTGAATTCAATAATTAAGACTAATAATCTTTCACTCAACACAAGGCATGATTCAAAGAAAATCTTAAAAGACTATAGTGTAGTCTTTTAAGAGGAGGGGAAAGGCTACAGTGTAAACTTTCTTCCCAAAGGCTCCCATTCTCATGTCTTTTTGTACATGAACAAAGAGAAATAAAACTTGTGGTTCTCTAACAATGAAACTTCCAAATATTAGTTTGGGACAAAGAAGAAGAAAAAATTTGGTACTGAGTTAGCCAATGGAGAAGGTATTCTGGATTCTGAATTACGTAAAAAATTAAATTCATGTAGGTTAATATAATTGTGTACAAAATTATTTCTGAGTCAGATTTCTTTCTGAAATGTCATAGTCATAAAATCTTAATGCTAATCAACCTGAAATTAAACCAAACTTCAAATATCTAAGATGGAGAAAATGTTAGAGGGCAAGATGATAAATTGCTGGAATAAAGATATATTTTTGCCAAACAGATGGTGGAACAGATAGAACCCAGGAATCGGATGTTTTAATCCTGGCTCTCTTTTTTAAAGGCTATATTTGCACAGACAGGCAAGTCACTTCTTTCTGAACTCAGTGTGTAAAATGGGGACTTAGATTAAATTATGTCTAAGATTTGGCCCAAGTTTAAAATTCTGTGAAACTGCCCCTCTGCCTGCTTCCGCCCCCCACCCAAATCCAGCAGGACAGTCAGACTGGCACGCAGGAGATCTTGCCCTCTATGGGGCTCCTCAGAGCGAGGGCTTGCCCTGTCCGTGCCCTACTTCTCAGCAGGTCAGCTGCCTCTTCTAGAGACAGGAGGCCTTTATAAGCACCCAGCAGGTATCATCATCCCAGTAGCACCATGATGATCTCCAGTACCATCATCCTCTTTCCATATATACCTCTTCAATGTTTCTTATCCAATTTTTAATATTGTCGAAGGACTTTTCATTTGTGATGTCATAGACCAGCATAATTCCCTATAGAAGAAAAAAGATCTTTATTTAGTACTGTATATATTTAAAGTTATAAAATATAATGTAAATGTACTCCTCCCCTCCAGAAAGCTTTCATTTGTTTGTTTGCGGTTTTTCTGGTCTTTATAAAAGGGATTCACAATAATATTTTAAAGTATGGAGAAGCAAAAATAAATTTTTCCATTGCCTTGCCATGTAAATAAATACTTGGTTAACATTTTCACTGTTAACCTTTAATGAATTAGTGATTATGGTAAAGATGATACACCCTTTCTATCTTATCACATGATAAGAATCGGCACTAAACTGGAGCTGAAAGAGTGTTTAAGCTAAAACATGGACAGCACTGAGAGTAAGCGGTAATCCCTTCTGTGCGCACTTGTTTATCCCAAGTAGAAACGGTCTTGCTTTGTCCTATGCTAAGACTGTAACCGTCCTGCTTTAAAATGATTTCCTTTTATATAGGCTGATCAAAATGTCTCTGTCTAAGTAAATCACAGACACTTAAAATATAATGAATCTGTCATACAAGTTTAATGAAAGGCATTGTCATATTTTTAAAGGCTCCACGGCTGGTGTTTCTGAAGGGTTTATCTTCTAAATGCTCCAATTGATACCTGTATGCTAATATCCCAAAATCTGTATCACCAGACCACGCTTCTGTATTAAGTGCTAGATCCACCCACCCATTAAGGCACTAGACAAATATTTAGTGGGTGCCTACTATGTGCCTGACACTACAGTAAGTATTACCATCAGTGAACAAGATAGCCAAGGCCCCCTCCTCTCATGAATGGGTAGCAAAGAAAACATTAAGCCAATAATTATACAATTAATTATAATTTTGAGACTTGCTATGAATAACTACTAGGAGTTCTGAGTATAAATGCTAATCTAATCTGGTTGATGGGCTGGGGTGGTTAGGGAAGCCTTCCCTGAGAAAATGACATTGAAGCCAAGGCCTGAGGACTAAGTAGACCTGAACTGGGCAAAGGGGTTGAGGTTGGGATAAAGAAGGGAAGACCACAGTGCCTGGCACATAGGAGAAACGTTATAAATATCCTGCTGACCAGGAAGGCCCACAACCCATTGGACTGAGTAAAAAAAGTGAGTTTGGCAAAAGTGCACAGATCCAATGGGAGACGAGCCCAAGATGTGGCCAAAGAGATAGATAGGGGTCAGACGGGACTTGGAGGCCACTAATTGGACTTCACTTCCTAGGTGTCCTCTGTGGTAACCAAAAACTCAATGAAGTAAAACATGAGGGTGTCTTCGCCCACCTCTCTATCTTCCCTTCCTTCTTGTACTTTTGTTTGATGAAGGGCAATACAACCCACCAGCCAGCCCAGGCATACCCCTGGGAGTCCTCTCCTTCACAGTCAGTCAGTCATGGAGTCCTGCAGGCCTGACAACCTCGACAGTTCCCGAATGTGACACCCCCAACCCACACACATGAATGCCTTATTCATCTTCTCAGCAATTAACCTCTACCTGGATTACTGTCATAGTCTCTAATTGGTCTCCTTGCTTTCATTCTTAACCACCTCTAATCCACTCTCTATAAGGACACTGGAGTGGTCACTTTATTGATACCTCTCCACTCACTGGACTCATAATTAAACTAAAATTTCTTAATATGGTAGATAAAGTCCTTCAGGGTCTGGCTTCCAACTTGATAAATAAATATAAAAATAAATCACATAAAACACACATGTACTCATATGTAAAAGAATCCAGGAAACAACGAAATGTTAACATATCTCAGGGAGGTGGGATTTTGGATGATTTCTTGGGATTTTCAAAGTTCTCTATACTACCTGTAATCTTTGGACAACCAGAAAAATATGTGTTATTGTTTAAATGACAAACTGATATCCTCTCTCCACCCTCCTCCCAGCCTGGATGCAAATATGCCACTTCGGCTACAAAGTAAAGGAGATTTTACAATTGTCAATGTAAATATTTTTTAAAAAAATCAAAGTGGAGAAGTGTACACTTAAATGGTCAATTTTATGTTATGTATATTTCACCACAATAAAAAAAAAACCCTCAAAATGAAATTTGAATAATTCCCGATTCAAAGCATTTAGCTGCCTATAATATAAACATTAACCAAATAATTGCCATAGCTCTGCAACCCTTTGGGCTATATGGGCAACCTTGATCTTTATTGCCCATGCCTGTCAGTGGCACTCTGGGTGGTTAGCACAGGAAGTGTGAGCACAGTGTAGTAGTTAAGGACACAGGCTCCAGAGTCAGAGGCTTCTCCTCGCAGATTCCAGAGATGTAATTCTAGCCCTCAGTCTCCATTTCTCGTTTGTAAATTGAGGACAGCATGCTTTCCACACTGGATTCTCTTGAGAATCTACTGAGATACTTTGTATAAAGTACTTAACCTAGAACCCAGGACACAGCTTGGATTCAATAAATAGCAGCAATTTTTAATTTATATCTTTGGTTTCAATAGCAGAAACCCTTTGGCTCCTTCCAGCAAACTGACATTATGAATCAGCTGGAAATACAAACTCAAGTATACTAGTTAAAACTTTATATATCTGATATATACCTATAATAACAACAGTTTCCTTAGAGTCCTTAAGACAGTGTTAGTCTATGAGAAATGTTGACAATGCAATGATATGGTGCTTTTCTCCAATAGTCCAGTCATCCATCAGGGCCACTGCTATTCCTACAAATGTTGAAGAGTTTGAAATAGACCACAGGCTCTGTGATGGTGGCAGACTCCGATGCAGTGCTTATCAACATGCCGCACACCTACAGCAACCACAGTAAGCCTGCCAGGACCACCACTAGCTGAAATGAGACCATGCCCCAATGAGAACATGATGGCCCCCACATCCCATTGGGACAGATGACCTGCAAGACCAGTATTTCCTGAAGATTTACCTAAGACTGTTTCTAGGTCTGAAATTTTCCACTGATTCACTCCTTCATCAAGTATTTACTGAGCATCTACTATGTGTCAGGCACTGGCATTACAGCAGAACAAGAGAGACAAAATCCCCTACCTTCAAAATGGAAAAGACAACACTATCTTAGAATAGCAACAATTTCTAATTATTTGAAGTAATGTGAAGAAAGACTAGGCAGTAGATAATGAAAAATACAGGCAATCCTCAAATCTAAATGAAATCATGCATTTTAATGCCCTCTTTCCTCATACCATGAACTAGAGCTAGACCCCTAAGGAAACATGCTCAACACTCTAGTGTCCTGCCCACTCTCTAGTGAAAACAGGCAGGCAAGTGGGATCAATATAGCACTCTTGGAAAACAACAAACTCGTCAACAGAAAAGCTTGTATTTATAAGATACTTCTAATCAAAATTACCTGTAAACTATTCTAAATCAAACCTATTAAGATGTTCTTATTTATTCCTAAAATCCTTCCTGGGGGAAACAAACAACAAACAAACAAACAAACTCCTTCCTGGCACACAGAATAAGTCCCTTCCCTCTGATTATAATCTAAGCAAAACAGAGAGTAGCTGACAACTGTCTTTCTTAAAATGATGACCTTCACAATCATAAAGGTGTTACAGGGTGAAGTGTGAGGAACACATACATATAAATGCTTAGTGGTGCACAGTGCCAAGGTGAGAGAGCTTTGATAAGGAATCTGCAGTTTTTCTGTGGGGCTGCATTACTGGTGCTCAAGTAACAGAGGGTGAGTAGCAGCAGAGGAGGGAAGGAGGGCAGCATGGTAATGAAGGGATCTGAAGATTCACATCACATCTCCCTGAAAGCAGGGGGACAGCTATCACCCCTACAGCTCTGTCGCCCTGGCATCACTCCCAGGAACACAAATCTTTTAATAACGAGCAGGGTATGATGGCAGCTGGTACCCCACAGTCCACTAGGTTGAGCTCAATAATCTCAACTGCTCAGCCTTCTAAGACTCTCTGAGCACACTGAGTTTCATCAAATTCAAAGCTCCAACGAGTGCTTGGATTAGGCCTAAAGCCAGAGATGAAGGCCTGGCCTGGGCCGACGTTCTAGGGCACGGTTCAGCACAGCTCTGCTTCTCGGCTGCCTTATGCACCACCGTACTCCCAGCAACACACAGAATCTGCTCTGAGCCAACAAGCAATATAAATGGGTCGTACAGATGAAGACTTAGGATGGAAATCGGCGAAGTGATGAGGTTATGCTATCAAGGATAAGGCTATCATGTAGCAAAGAAGGACTTGGTTGTCAAGATTCACCAGATTCTAAACCTCAAAGAGTCACGTATCATTCAGCTACTTCCTGGCCAGCTGGCAAAATGCTGGTGGAGGAGAATCCAGAGAGCTGAGCCATTGAGACTGGGTGTGGTGGGCTGGGAGAGGTAAGGAATGATGGTGGCGGGGCTGAATGATGAGAGGGTGCAAGAAACAAACAGTGAGTCACAAAGCTTGCGGTTTACTAAGAAATAGCAAAGGAATTAACAAAAGGAAAATCACCAAAACATACTCAGGATGTATGGAGGATTCTAAACACCCACAAGCTAATTACTTATTAATATTATGACGACCAATAGCAAAGTATATAGTTACTAAACACTAAACATTTTTTTCACATAAAAAAATCTACTTTCTCCATTTTACTAGACTTTAGCTTGAATCCTATCAACTTGACAAATGAATATTCATGTTTCACTTTCACCTGAAATGTTAGCAAGCCCCCAAACACACTCACCATGGCTCCTCTGTAGTATGCTGTCGTGATGGTTCGAAATCTTTCCTGACCTGCTGTGTCCCTAAAATTTTAAACAAAGGAGAGAGTGGTTTTAAACAACATCAGCAACACTGAGGAGAGACCTAAAGCTAGAGGGGAGAAAATTCTGGTCTGCTCACCAATGCAGTGGTTTCAGGGAAGGAAAATAAGATACAAAGGGAGCCTGTTGTGTCTGTGAGCTGGAGGCGGTGGTGGCCACAGGAGCCTGTCAAGAGCTCATAATAACTTGTGTGAAAAAGTTGGACCTTGACGATAAAAGCAGCAACAAGCAAATCCATGGCCTGCTAGGAGCTGGCATGCTGTATTAGTCAAACACATATGGGAGAAAACAGAGAACAGTTCTAAATTCTTGGACTCCTAGAGGTAGTCATAATCCTTTTAATAAATGCCTAATGATTAAGGCATTTTGCTCTCTTGAGTGAAAGTCTGATTTCTGTACAAAGAAAGCAATTGGGTTGGACTTACTACTGTGTAAATTTGGCTCAACTGAGCACACTAAAATGGATCTCCTCAAGAACTTTTTCAGCTATGGAGCCCATAATTAATGGGAACCTGGAGTTCAACACATAATTGTTGACAATGTTTCCAAAGGCTTTGAAATAGGAACAATATGGCAAAATTACATAAGCTTTCATATATTCTTGCTTTTTAGCTGATGGGACACCATTAGAATACATTCTTAAAAATACAAAAGTAATCCTTATAAAGCAGGTCAAATTTCCTTGATATCTGGGAAAATCAGTATTCTTCAATTTGCCACTTACCAGCAGAACTAATTCACTCCCTGTGCTACTAAGATAAACTAAATTATACAATTTAACTGTAGGGAAGAAAGAGGCATTTGTGAAAATACGCTAGAAATCTAATGCATACCAAACCCAAGCAAGAGATAAGGCCCAAGGGAAATATAGTAAATTAAAAACATTAATAAATCCCTTAATACTTATGTGTACCTTAGAAGATACTCTCATATGACGTCCACCACAGCCAGTGTGTGGTACTACCATCATCCCTGTTCTGCAGGAGAGGAAACAGGCTCGGGTGGCCGTGGTCCCAGTTCTGCCACTAACCAGCTCATGCCCTTGAATGAGACACAAGCCACCTACATCTCTGCTGTTCAGTGCAGGGCAGGCCTCACCTCAGTCACTGTATCCAACCCTTCTGTCACTGATCAGGACTAGCTACATAGGGCACTTGCTTGCACAGGGCAAACAAGTCATGGGGAAAATATAAGTGAAGCATCCTTGAGTAGACCAACTATATTTTGATTCTAACACACTATCTGATTTAGAACCAGCTCTGTAGTGAGGCTGGAGGGGGAAGCCCTACCATACTAAGTGCAGGTCATGAAAACTAAATAGAGAACACTCTGCTGCTAAGAGTATGCATGAGAAGTGCCCTGACATTATATTAAATTCTAATTAGCTGATCACCCACAGGCTCCTAGAAACCCTCCTTATTGCTATGATCAGGACTATACAGCACAGAATCAAATTCTCTTTGCTTTCCCCTTAAAAAACTGTTTTGTATCTTTCACATATTTTGCTTCTTATTGAATACCGACAGATGAAAAGGGTAGCCTGTGGTAACCTCCACAATGTTTTCCAAAGACATACACTGGGAACTACTATCCTAACATATGAAAGTGACACAATGTCCCAGGAGATTTGGGTAGTTGTCCCAGCTTTATCACTAACCCAGACATTTGCCCTCAGGTGAATTTAACCACTCTAAGTCCTAGTTTCCTCCCTCATAAATGAAGTGCAAGTGAATTCCAATACAATGTTCTAATTCTACTCCTGTTCTGAGATACAAAGAAGAAAAACAGCCTAAGAAATAAGTTCATATTTATTACTTTACTATTTTACCCTGTGTAGTCCATGTGGCTCTAAATTTCTAAGCTAGTCTACTTCTGTCATCATCACACATTAGATAATAAACATCGTCAAAAACCTTTCCCAAGGCTCCAATTCTATATGGCTCCACGGAAGGCCCTCTAGTGAAAGAAATTAAACCAGCTTACAGGAGGTTTTTAAAAAAGTCTATGAAGAGTTTCTGAGTTTAAGCCAAAAATATTCAACCTGGCAATCTGGGAGAACCAAATTTATTCATTGTAGTTTGACAAATTCTCCAGAAATTAACCAGTCAGATTTGGGTGATCTTAAGGAGATCTTTGCCCTGCATATTGCAACACAAGAGGTGAGAAGTATGACTTTTTTCTTCCTTATTTCCTAGTCCAGTGTTCCTCATTTTTTTAATTTAATGAGAATATGCAAATAAGTGATGAAATATCAGAGCTGGAGGGGAACTCAGGTATCATCAGTCTAGTCAATCAATTTACAAATGAGGGAAAGTAGTGCCCTAAGAAGGGGAGTAACTGTCCCACGTCCTCAATTTAGGGGTAGTCCTGGCTAGAACCTAGATGTGCACTTCCTGTTAAGGGTTCCTATCACTTGACAACCAAGCCTCATCTGATTTCACAGCTGCAACAACTACAATAAAAAACTAACTGACCCTCTAGAATTTAGTTTCCTCCCCTATAAAATTAGCATTTGGGAAGAATGAGTTCTCAGCTCTCTTCTGGTTGAGTTAGTGAGTGATATCATTCCTACCTTCCCACTCTTGGTGTGCAGACCTTTGAATACGTACCCATTTCCCCTTGGTTCTGATAAAGAAAAGATGTTTTAGCTATCACAGAATGCCTCTAACTTACCACAATGCATATTTTAATTCCCAGGTTCAATTCCTGACTAAAGTAGAAACTCTGTATGTATATATTTACTTACCATATCTGAAGCTTGATTTTCTTTCCATCTAGTTCTATCGTTCTGATTTTAAAATCAATTCCTGCCAGAAAAAGAAAGACATGCTAAATTTCTTCAACTATAATCCAAGTCTTATTAGAAAAAGAACAAAGATTTCTATTGGGGAAAAAAGAAGCTCTCCAACGCCCTGGAAAATGTGAACACAGAGAGGGTGTGCATGGTATGTTTCCTCTGAATACAGGCTGAAGAAAGGAATGCTAATTACTCTGGAAAGAATTCCCACACGTTAAATGCAATGTATTATATGCCTCAGTATTTTGACATAAATGGATCACATCCCCCTCAAAGTTACATAATTTAGACAGACTGAGAATGTGCCGTATTTCCCACTTCCTGAAATACATATGAACAGTGTTTCCTACCCCTCATGCCCCCCACCTGTCCCTAAAGGTGGCCATGGGACCTCTTCACATGTCTTCCTCCATCTCCTTCCACTTGTTTCTTTAGAATCTGCAACTGGCTAAGAAAAACACCCCCCAAACAAAAACAAACAAACAAAAAGCCATTTCTATTTGAGGGAAGGGATCAGAAAGCCTATATATTTATTTTATACAGTGTTAAGAAGTATTTTACATACATTTTAATAAATGTTCCCCACATCTAACTGGCTAGGGCTGAAATAACTAAAATAGTTTTTGGCTGTACTTTAGAATTACCTGGGGAACTTTAAAAAACAAAACAAAACAAAAAAACCCCACACAACTCATAGCTAGGCCGGCTCCCTTTCCAAAATTCTGAGATTCTGACTTAATTGGTCAAGCACAAGGTCTGTGCACTTGTAATTTTCAAAGCTCCCTAGGTAATTAATTCTAATCTGAAGCCAAAATTAAGAAGCCCTCAACGCCGCCTGACAGGTAGCATGTGAAAGTCCTCTGAGGCTGAGGCAGGCACTCCAAGTTGAACCCCTCCCTCACTTATCCACCGCCCCCCCATGGGAGCTCAAAACTTCTTTAGCAGTTTCAACTACAAAGCACCACAAAGTCCTAGGCAATTATCAGCATGCTCTATCAGGAACAAGCTGCCACTCTTTCTAAAGGAACTTGTTAGTGAATATAACTCAGTTGCAATTTGCTAAATCCTCATCATTTGGCTACTCAGCTTTTAGATTTTTCTGTTCTTCTGCATTCTATACAGAACCCTACAAAGTGGTTTCCAAGACACTTACAAAAAAAACAACATACATGTCAAATATGTATCCTCTAAACTGACTTAAACATTAACTGTAGCTATCTGGGAGGAGGAGAGCCTTCACATGCTATGTTACCACAACCTTTCTACATATCAACATTGAGAGCACTCCAAAAGGATGCTTGCCAGCTCCAGCTTCATATAATGCATAGGCATAAGCCACGTGGGTTTTCCACTTCTCTGTGTGGCACTTTCCCCCCAGGGACCCTTTTTCGGTACTCTTGTGTATCTTGAAATAGACAACAATCACACCCAAGCCAATCTAGTAGGGCAGCGTCTCAATATTCTTTCCCCTCACCAATAACCACTATTACTGTTAACAAGTACAATCTGACACCCAATATCCCCAGGTTATCTGGCTCACGTTTCCTTCAGGGTACTTCAGTATTGCAGGGTCAGCAGTGGCAGAAGCAAAACTTAGCAAAACAGTATAAATATTATAGTTAGCATCACACAGATTTTACTGTGGCCATCGCTCATTTAAGACTTAATACGCATTGATTTTCATTGTGATTTACCTTTTTATGCATCTTTGAGTCCAATGTAACAAAGACCCTTTAGGATTCTCAGCTGTCCTTTGTCTTTTTTTTTTTTTGGTCCAGGCATTAAGAACAATGCCCAACAGGCACTCAATAAATGTTTCTTGATATTAAAATTTTTTAAAAATTTGTAATTTTCCAAATTCATAGGAACAGAAAACAGGATGGTAGTTACCAGGGGCTGGAGGGAGGGGGAAAGGAGAATTGTTGTTTAATGGGCACAGTTTAGGATTTGCAAAAGGTGAAAAAATTCTGGAGACCTGTTAAGCAACAATGTGACTACACTTAACACTAGTGAACTATACACTTAAAAACAGTTGAGATGATAACTTTTATTTTGTGGGGTGTGTTTTTTTTACCATAATAAAAAAGAAAAAAAATTTCATGACTTTCAAAACGCCATCTGTATATCTGAAAAATTTACTTTCTCAATTGGAAGGTCAATGTCCAACATTCCATCATTTACTATTACTAGTTCATTCAGTTTAAATAAGAGATTATGTATATCAAATGCCTGTTCATACAAATATTTTCCTTATTCTGGCTTATTGAGATCATAACTCCTGTTCTTTCAAGGTTGTTTTTGCCTGCAGTTGGGAGTCATGGGCAACTTTTCCACCTTCATTCAACAAAGCCATTTTGAGGCTCCCTTCAAGTCTCAGTTACTCTCCATTCATTTAAAACATTTAGGAAACTTTCTACTGACCTAGCCTTTTGTTTTTTGTATTTTTTAGAAGGATTACCTTTCTGTTATCTGAGGAGGTTTTACCATTATCTGGGAAACTTAACCATCTTTTCACTATTGAGTGGTTTTCAATGTTTGTAGGAGTTGTGAACTGGTATTTAGCTTTCATTTATGTGCCTGTCAGGAGCCAGTTGATAGACAAATGCTGTAGAGCACAGTCAAATTAGCACAACTTATGGAAAATATGGTTTATATTATTATTACTGAAAAGTACTGAAACAGGAAGTCAAAAGACCTACATTGTAGGTTAGGGTTTGTTGTTAACAACTCTGGGGAGGTTGCTTAATTGCTCTGAACCTCTATCTCCTCCTTCTTAAAAACAATTGAGAGGATCTGCTAGATAAGTTAGGTAGTGTGTATGACTGTGCTGTGGGAACTCTGAATTCCATATAAATGTAGGAGTTACGTGTGCAGGTTCTCTTACCCTGCAGCTCTTGTCACTTCCTGCATGGATTGTGATAACAGCTTCCCAGGACGCTGTGCCAACCTCTCTCCCTGGTCTAATTCCCCTGCCAGCCACTGTGACAATAACTTTTAGCACTCCCTGTGGTGATGTCACCTCACTATTTAAGAAACCGTGGATCCAACTTCCTCAGCCTCGCCATCCAGCCCTTTCCATGGGATACACTGCTCTCCTGACACTGCTCCCTCAGAGCCCTTCTCCAATGTCAGCCTCTGTTCCTCTCAGGAGGCCGCACATGCCCTCCCCTCAGCATGTGTGTGGCCACCTCACTGGGCAGCCTTCTCTGAGGATGTCTCCCTCCCTCCTCAGCTGTCCACTCAGCTGTGTGCATCACTTCTCCAAGGCCTGGCTTTGGCACAGTAGTTCAATCCTGCATTATTTGGCTTATTAACATATTGCTCTAAAGTGCTCTCACATCAAGCAAGGACTCCATCCTTTCTGCCAGTTAGGCTGCACACAGTAGATACTAAATGAAAGGTTAAGTACTCTTATGAAATTACATAAATTCTACTAAGTGTGCAGAGAGCTAAGAAAACCATGGAAGTCCAAAGTTTTCTTAGTAGACCATAGTAACAACAGCGAGAGTGCTGAGAATCTTATTACAGTAAAAAAAAAAAAAAAAAAAAATCTTTATAGTACACTTAGTTTGACAACATCAGTAGAATATATAGTAGATTAATAATCACTTTAAATTTTAAAGTTTCTGAGGCCACTCCAAGATTAAAAGAATAACCAGTCATAAGAACAACACATTACATCAATTAGGGTGCTTTCTGCTACAACAGAAATCCCAGATCTAACTATCTTAAGGTAACTTGTTGACTCATATAACAAGCCCAGTGGTGAGTTGGGGTTTTGAGATGGCTCAGTCCAGGAGTTCCGGCTCATTTCTCTGCACCTCCTTTGGCTCTGCCCTCCTTGGGAGTATCCATTTCATCCTCTGACTGGTAGCAGTTCCTGACCACAACAGCAATACCAAGAAGAAAAGAGGTCATCTTCTTGTGCCTCTTTCTTAAAAGTGAAGGACTGTTTCCCCAAAGCCTCTAGCAATCTTTCCTTCATGTCTCATTTTTGGATCTATAACCGGATTTGTAACCATGGGAATGCCATGTTCTGGGGACTAAGGATGAGTTCCTGAATGAATCACTGCATGGTCAATTAGGAAGATTAAGTTAATCTAAACCTACCCTAAATTTAGATTAATCAAGTCCCATCCCTGGAGCTGGGTCGCTCCTGCCAGATCCACAGGGCTGCTAAGGTCAGGAGAGTGGAAAAGCTGTGAATCAACCCTAAGATGTTAGAATAATACTCAAATCTATCTAATTAATACGACTTCGTATTCGTAGCCATAGGAAACAGACAAGTCGTGACAGCTCTCCCTATGACTTGGGCAGGAATGTTATTAACCTCGTGATAACCACAGCATTTATCTGCAGGTAACAGTGCCTAGTGTTCAGCCACAAAGCAGAGAGGAGGAAGACGCAAAAGGACAACGCACAACCCACGCAACTCAGATGACAGCTCTGTGTGCTAAACCGTGACCACTGTCAGGAGAGCCCCGTGCCCACAGTCTCAAAGACCTGGCTTGGGCTCCAGCCCCAAAAGATCAGACTGCAAAGGAGGGGCTCTCACATCAACAGCAGCAAAACCTACATTACAGCTCATCCTGCCGTCAGGGAGCAATTTTTTTTCCATTTCAAAGGACTATGTAATCTCAAAAAACACAGCTTCAATGGGCATTACATTTGGGGTCAAAATGTCCTTCACATTTCAGTGGCCTTTTAAAAAGCATCGTTGGTTTTTGGCAGTGTATCATATAATAATTCATGTTCAAAATGATGACCCTGAGTCATCCCATCGCATGAGCAATCCATGAGCCACCAGGCTGCATGCAGCCTTCCCAGCCGGCCACACAGTCCAACACCTATGTTCAGGAGACAAGACTCCAACGTTGCTTCCATATTTCTCAAATATGCCCCATCATTCATTTTTTTATGGCCTGAAAGCAGTGCCAGTTTTCTCATTAATATTTATCTAGTCAATAAAATAGGAAATCCAAATTATAAGGAAACATTCCCATGGGACTCAAAGGCTCATTTTGAATTACACACACACACACACACACACACACACACACACACACAGAGATTCTTACTTTTTCTGAACTGATTCTCATGCTAAACAGTTGCTCATAACTGATACATATGATACACTATAAGGAAGCAGGGAAGCAAATGCGAATCACAGATTTCTAGACTTAGAAAGTACCTGAGAGCCCTGGCCAGGTGGCTCAGCTGGTTAGAGTGTTGTCTCAATGTGCCAAGGTTGCGGGTTTGATCTCAGGTCAGGGCGTATACAAGAATCAACCAATGAATGCATAAATAAGTGGAACAACAAATTAATCAATCTCTCTCCCCCGCTCTCTCCCTTCCTCTCTCTCCAAAATCGGAAGGAAGGA